GAAGCCCCAGGTACCCCAATCCTACGTCCATCTAGTCGGGGTTTTTCGACCGTTAAACTGTCCCTCACAGTGTTTATTTGCTGGAGTGGCCTCTCTAGGGGCGGGTGTGGATAGAAGGAAGGAAGTCAAGAGGTGCCCAAGCAGCTGGCTTTGTGAGACTGAGCTTTGTCTGGCCTCTACCCGTTGACCTTACAGGCATGATTGGATCTGCGGCTGAGGAGCCATCTTGTATTTCTCGCAGGGTCATTGAGGTGCGCAAGCCATCACACCACGTCAAGGTGCAGTTTCGTCGTGATGGACTCAAGAAGAAAGAGACCTCAGAGTATTTGCTCGCAATGGCTAACCCCGCAACTTCATGAAAAGAACTCTGGCTCGAAGAAAGAAGGAAACAGGACGGAGAATCGGGAACAAGAACGACCCTGCCGTACATCAATGACGTTTAGCAACCGACAGTAAGACTGCTTAGGTCATATGGAATCCAAGTAGTCCACAAACCGATCGCCTGTCTAAGGGGACCTCTGTCAAAACCCAAGGAGAGAATAATGCAGAAGGACAAGAGTAGCGTTATCTAAAAAGTAAACTGTAAAAACTGCCCAAACCACTATATCTGACAAACTGGAAGAAAACTGTCAACAAGGATCCGTGAACACCAATCGGCAGTCAGGAGACATAACCCACTATCATCGATTTCCCTCCACGAAGATCAAGAAGGACATCAATTTGACTTCGAATCAGTGCGAATTATCGAGGCTTGCACTTTTCAATCAACTCAATAAACAGGCACATCGAACTGGATCACGTGTACACACCAATGCAACTCAAGGGTCAAATGACGCAACAAAAAGGGTCACGCCGTGACCTGAGAATGGACGGAAACCGCAATCAGGACGAAAGGATAATCTCCGACTCTCACCCCGCTCGCACCAGTTTAACAGCGAACCGAGTCGAACACGGTGAGAACAAGGAACAAAAACACTCGGTGGGGAATAACATATAGAAACAAACGGATACAAGTAGAAGACTGCCACTCCACAAGCTTTGATGATGTCACCTCGGCTGGTGATGAAACGTTTGCAAACAAATTGCCAGGCTCGGCGAATAGGCGAGATGTAATAAAGAGTGTCTGTCTTCCTCGAATTTCCGAGGTAGGTAGTGGGTGGAAAGGATCATGGGTAGTAAAACTAAGACCTAGAACCTAGGTCATATTAGGTCACATTACGCTTCCTGGATGACCTGGGAATTACAGCAGTAGTTGGTCAGAGACGAAGTGGATTCACTTTGTCGTAAACCGTGGTACTCGTGCGTCTACTCAATAACGTTTTAACCGTAATCTGCCTGAATTGTCAATCGCAGCACAAACAATGCTCTCAGCAGCTTAATTCTCTTCCTAATCTTCGTCCAAAAGGATAACCAAAACCGCCGCAGTACAGTGTTTGGTTAATCTTTGTATGGACTGGCATTTTGCGATTAAAAAGCCCCATATTAAAACGATTTCTAGTATTCCGGCTCCCAATTCAACGCGCCTACATAACTTCAAACTATATAAAAATTAAACAATGTGGTCGGGGACAATGTCGTTCGTGATCCAACACCAATCGGTGGCGAATGTTCTATGGGTATCTCCTCAGAGTGCAATATTTCATTTATTAACTCTATTCTTGTTATATCTTCCAATCTCAAAATCTAAATACGTAACAAAGGTCGTCATCGTGTGTTATAGATATATATCTCCACATAAACTGAGAAAATATCCAATGATCACATTTTTGTCGCCTTCTAGAAACGTCCGCATGATGATTCACCGAAACTGTCTGACCTGTCAGATGATGATTATGTGCCGTATGTTCCTATCAAGGAACGTAAAAAACAACAGGTAATTCTTCCTTTTCATACAGATTTTGTTGGTTTTTTGAAATATATAACACCGCATTAAGCATAAGTTTAAAACAGACGTGACAACAATGGAAAGAGAAAGGGGGCTGTGTGACTTAAAATGAGATAAATGAAGAGACAAAAGAGAACAAGAACTGTTTTTTCATCATGATTTTTGTATTTCTGTTTGTTTGTCTTTTTGTGGAGTACAGAGTTTCAACCGACACGTCATACAGTGTTCGCGTCAGTGACTTCTTCTACGCATATCTCAGCGCCTCTAACCTGGAAACCGGGTNCCTGAGCCAATACTGAAGGTAACTTTTTATATCCCTAAGCCAGCTCATGGTATGTCTACCGTGTCGCCCCGCGGTGCCCTGTACTCCTTCGTTAAAGGAAATTCGGATGCCACGGGGAGTCGCAAGTTTCCCAGATTAACAAGTGTCGCACTGGCTTTTGATATTCATGTGATCTTTTCCCCAGCACTACCTGCAGTTGTGATCAAGCTTCCTAGGTACTAGAAGTTGCGACACCTGTGGCGCCGCCGTAACATCCGACTATCCCTTAAGGGAAGGGTGTACATCGCTGCGGTCCGTAGTGTTCTGCTTTACGGCTGCGAGACCTGGCCTCTCCGAGCAGAGAATGTTCAT